CCCTGAAGTGTCCAGGGCAGTGCAGACTCTCAGACGTGGGGGTGGGAACACAGAGAGGTTATTTGTGCTCAGCAGCTGGTACCCAAAGGGTGGGCCGTTTGAATCTACAGTGTGGCCTCGCAAGAAAGGCCTGGCACCCTGCCTCGGAAAGATGATCCTCAAGAAAGCCCCAAGGCCAGGGGTGACCTGTAGCCTCTCTCTGGATTCTCAGGCCTCTCAGCGATTGTGGATTTACACTAACTCCCGTGGGAATTGTGGCCATGCCTGCGTTCCACTGGGCAGAAGGCTGAAGATCCTGCAGCTTACGGGGGACCAGAGAGGTGCAGGATCACCTGGCTGGGGTCACCTCCTTGATGCTGGGGAGGGTAGGAGGGGCAGTGGGGGTATGGCAGGGGGACCGTGGGGCCCTTGGGGAGGAGGGATTGGGGGAAGGGAATTTGTGGGGCATTAGGCTCAAGGGATGCTCAGGAAGGAGGCTGTGTCACCCCACCTTTGAGCAGGTCCACAGTGCACAGCTCGAAGGGGATGCGGTTCTTCTTGGCAAAGATGTAGACAGTGCGGCAGGGCTGGGACAGCAGGTCCAGGTACAGCTCCAGGCCCATGGCAGGGGCTGCAGTTCGGGCAGCAGCTATGGGAGTTTCAAGCTTCGGCAACAGTGATGACCACTCCCTCTGCCCTATGTCCTCAGGGCAGGCTCCCTGTGCAATAGCCAGCAGGGCAGGAATGCAAATGACTTGCTGGGTGAGGAAAGCCTAGGGTCCCTCCCCACCAGCCTGGACTCCACCCCACTCCTGGACAGAAGCTGGATTTTGTGACTGGGCGGCTGGAGCAAGGGGGCCTACGCTGAGCATCCCATGCCCGGGAACAGGCCTTTCTCTAGGGCAGGCTCCCCACCGCCTGAAGACCCACTTTCTGGACATGGTCCATCTCCTCATTCCCTTTTCTTCCAGGCTGCATGGGTGCAGAGTCCAGGAGAAGGACGCTGAGCCCTGGTAGGCAAGACGCTCGCTCCTTCCATGTTCCACAAATGGACCTGGGACTGTGAGTGTGGTGGGGAAACGGCAATGTGGTAACACTGGATATATTGTAAGGGTTACACTGATTGGGGCCCTGAGGGTGGAGTGGTTATATGGTTATACGTTGGATTGTGATCCACGTGGTCGGGGGTTTCAAACCACCAGCCGCTCTGCGGGAGAAAGACTGGGCTTTCAGCTCCCGTGAAAGCCTGACTTTAGTCCATTTTTGATACACACCAGGAAATGCTCCTGTGCCCACTTGTCACTGGAATCATTAAAATCCCAGACCGGGTCAGCCGGAGGCACAGCTGTTCCTCCTATCCATACTTGTCATGCGTCACCTGAGAACTTTCTGCAAACTTCCTCACTCCCTTCAGCACGCACTCTTTTCCAAAGTCTGTCACAGTCTGTCCCAGAATGAACATTACATCCTCCCAAGCCAAGTCATAGAGTAGGGTGATTTGTGCAAGGTCTCTATGCACTGTTCTGGATGGTTTGAATAACTGCCTAGGGCCCTCTTAATCTGCCTGAGTTCAATTAAGGTGAAAGGTGTGTCAATTGCTCGGGGTCCAAACTCCCCAGGACTGGCTTTCAGCTTCAGGGCCCCTTAGAGCAGTGGTTCTCAA